GCCCCCCCCCTCAGACTGATTCATGGAGAGGGGGTCCCTCCCGCTGCATTCCCCATATGCTACATAAATTCAGAATTCTGGCAGCTGGTACCGGCTCTGGCAGGTGTACAGAGATCTCACTACCCGGGAGTCAGCTGATGAGACCCACCAAACAAAATACCAGTTTTAGGTGGAATGATCCTTGAATACAACATAGAGAGAAGCTAATTAAAGGAACATGCACGTACAAGCACATAGTCCCGGGTACTCACTGCACGTGTGATTGGATGTCACCTCCTGCTGCTCGCGGTGTGGTCCTCGGTCAGTGGTCGGTTGGATCTCTTCTCCTGCTGTTCCCCGTGTGGTCCTCGGTCAGCGTTGGATGTCACCTACTGCTGTTCCCCCTGTGGTCCTCGGTCAGCGTTGGATGTCACCTCCTGCTGTTCCTTGTGTGGTCCTCGGTCAGCGGTTGGATGTCACCTCCTGCTGTTCCCCGTGTGGTCCTCGGTTAGCGGTTGGATGTCACCTCGGTCAGCGGTTGGATGTCACCTACTGCTGTTCCCCGTATGGTCCTCGGTCAGCAGTTGGATGTCACCTCCTGCTGTTCCCCCTGTGGTCCTCGGTCAGCGGTTGGATGTCTCCTGGGTCAGCGGTTGGATGTCACCTCCTGCTGTTCCCCCTGTGGTCCTCGGTCAGCGGTTGGATGTCTCCTGGGTCAGCGGTTGGATGTCACCTCCTGCTGTTCCCCCTGTGGTCCTCGGTCAGCGGTTGGATGTCTCCTGGGTCAGCGGTTGGATGTCACCTCCTGCTGTTCCCAGTGAAGCTCAGTATGTGGAAGTGCTGTAAACGCCTTTGTGACATTCTGCTTGTCCTGATGGACGCAGAGCCCTCCTGCTGCCTCTTCAGTGCTCTCAGTGGAAATTCAGAAAGCCTTATTTCCATAGAAGATTTGGCATGCCGTGTGCCCACAGGCCACTCCCCCTTTCTGTGCAGGACATCTCTTCAGCAGACTTGGCTATGCCCCTCTCTGCCGTGTTTGAAGAATAATCCTCGATCAGCACCATCCCGGGAATGTGTTGTAGGTTTACAAGCTGCACCCACTTCCATTTTCCTTCTGTCCTCAGAATTCACCTCCCTCGTGTTATGGGACAGAATGCAGACTGTGGATTTCCTAAAGATGAAGTCCACCTAAAACTGACGTTCTAAACGAATGTTGGTGGAACTCATTACACATTGGCTTCTTAATACATTCCTGGAGCTCCAGCACTAAGATCCATCAATGCCTCCTTCACGGTGTGTTTTCTTTCCCAATAAGCCATTTCCCGTAATAGGAAGTCATTTGAGAATCCAACATGAAGAATGTCTCCTCAGATGAGCTGACGTAGGAAGTTGGGTGCAAATGCTTTGCTAGAGGGGTTCTTGAGAGGATGTGGAGGTCTCTGGGGGGATTTGGGTTTGTTTTTACTGGACTGCTTTAGACCCCATCTAGAATGGCCAGGATGACTTCTTAAATCACTGTGCTGTAGGATAGGAGCCTCGGTGTGCATCTCTGGTCGGTCAATGGATACCTCTGTGCTGTAGGATGGGACCCTCAGTGTGCATCTCTGGTTGGTCAATGGATACCTCTGTGCTGTAGGATGGGACCCTCAGTGTGCATCTCTGGTTGGTCAATGGATACCTCTGTGCTGTAGGGCGGGACCCTCGGTGTGCATCTCTGGTCTGTCAATGGGTACCTCTGTGCTGTAGGACGGGACCCTCGGTGTGCATCTCTGGTCTATCATTGGGTACCCTGGTAGTCTCATAGGGCAATATGCCTTTGGATTAATGCTTGTATCCTCCAAGAGACCAATCACCTGTGGAGGGATCTCTCTGGTTCCCAATACCCTCATGTTAGATGGCCTCTCCTTGGTGTCCCTCACCTTTTACCATGGCTGGTGATGCTCAGGTTGGAGGGGGTTTAGCTAGGGTCAGAGCTAGGAGGGATACACTGTGTCAGTAGACCAGGGCAGTGTGCAACTTACCTGCTGGTTCCTTCGGAGTAAGTTCTGTAGGTAACAGGTGTCCGTGGGCCCATTGGCTTGCCTCACAGAGAAAGGGGTAGAAGGCAAGGTCTCCTTTTCCCCAAGCACCCTGGGTTGGCACACTAATGTGAAAAAGAACCTTGTCTATTTGGTGTTGTCATACACTGCAGCCTGACCTCCTTCAGCTGTCAGGGGGGGCAGTATCCCATCGTGAGGTAGAGCCTCCACGCTCTGTGGGGTGCTAATCCACTGTGGGATTTGCCGTTGTATTCAGTTTAGTCTGGATAGCCCATGCCAAGTAATGCGGGGTGTACGGGTAGCTGGAACGGAGACCACCAGGTCTGTAGCTGTGAATGGTTAATAAAAGGACATGTTGTGTTGCCCTATCTCCGTATACTTACGGTCACCGGTGGGGTAAGTCTTCCTTGTCCTATGTCTGTCTTCTTATGTGTCTTATTTTGGGTTGTCTCAATGTGCCCTCCCCTTTCTGTTTCTCTGGGGGTCTCATCTCTGTTACGTGTGGGGGAACAGCCTAAATTTAGTGTCCTGGGTCTGAGCCCAGATATTTGCTGAGATCAATGAATACCAAGAGGCAACCGCGGAGGTGTAGAGAGACATCTTCGCAGAGGAGGGGGCCATGGGTGCAGGGTATGGAGCAGCCAGAGGACAAACAGGCAGAGAAAGGGGGAGAAGTTGGGTGAAGCAGAGATAATGGAAGATCCTGAGCAAAGAGACAGAGATCAGGGATGCTGTGTGAGATGCCGGTCTGTACGGTGGTCTCGCAGTGCAGGTATCTGGCTGCCGTCAGTGTCACTGTGTGGGGTCTTGCCGGCTGTGTGCCTCACGGGAGGTGGAGAAACTGACAGATGTGAAATAGCCTAGGGAGTGATAAATATAGAGATCTGCTTCATATTACATCTGGAGAGCCAGGAGAGAGCAAGACTTCCAGGGGGAGAGGATCAGAAACATTTGGAGGGAGAGGAGAGGGGGAACATGTACTGAGGATTGACTGCTCCGGATAGTCAGAGAGGACTGAGAGAGAGAGACTACGAGTGAGAGAGAGAGGGACTTTATGTGCATTCTCACCTAAGAGATTGACGTATCGAGCACGGCCGGGGCAGAGGGATGTCTTCCTTTACTACACCTGTTGCAGAGACAGCTTCCTGAGAGAGACATCTGCGTTGAAAGAGAAAGCATGAGACTGCTGAGATAGGAGAAAGGTTGCTGAGGTTGTAGTCTCTGGATAGGGGATCAGAGGAAAGCACAAGAGGGAGCGAGAACGTTGTTATTGAGTATTGGGTCCTCTGAAGGGAGCAGTGTTTGGATTTGTAGACAGCTTGGTAATCATGGATATAAACTCTGTGGTTTCGGAGATAAGCCGCCCAAAGGGACAAAATGGCAGTCCAACGACTAAACGTTCTTCCTCTAAATCCTCCAAGAAAAAAGCTCCTGCTAAACGTGCTACTGTTTATTTCGAGGTGGAGATCCTGGACGGCAAGACCCGGGAGAAGCTGTGCTTCCTGGACAAGGTAAGGGGACACAGCGGTGATCGGGGACTTTGACGGATGAGAATGTGCTGGAATGGAGATTGTGTGGGGAAGCCATAGAGGAGACGGCGGGTGGGGAGGAACAGGGCAGTAGGTGTTGGTGGGAATAGAGCATGTCTGATGGGAGATTGCATTGGGTGGATTGAGTTCAGGGGTGCTGGGAGTGGGTGGGTTAGGTTGAGGGCTGTGTAGAATTTGGGATGTATTAGGAGGGGGATTGGGTTGTGGTGTGCTCACGGTGGGAGGAGTGGTTGAAGGGTGGGAAGAGGTGAAATTAGGTTGAGGTGTACTGAGGGGGGTTGGTGAATTGAGTTGAGGGAATGCAGAGGGTTGGGAGTTGGGTGAAGGGTGGTTGTTGGATTGGTTAACTGGTGCAGCAGGTTGGGGGTTGGTGACTTAAGTTGAGGAAGTGCAGAGGGTTAGGGTTAGTATGAGAGGTGTTGAGGGGATTGAGGGATTGGTCAAGGAGTGCAGGGGGTTGGTTTGGGAGCTGCTGTTGGGGGTTGGTGAATTGAGGAAGTGCAGAGGGTTGGGGTTGGGTTAAGAGGTGTTGAGAGGATTGCTGGATTGGTTAAGGTGCAGTTTGAGAGGTGGGGGGTGATTTGGGTTAAGGTGTGTTGAATGGGGGATAGATCATTGTACTATAATGGAGTGGTTGATGGGGTGGGGGTGATCAGGGACCTGGATTTCAGGGTTACTCGGAGTTGGAATTGGGTGAAGTGCTGTAGGAAGGGGTGTTACATTTTACTGCCAGTATAATAACCCAAACCACGTAAAGTCTAATAATTGCATCCACATGTTGTATTGCTTTCTTGTATCCATGCAAAACTAAAATGCCACTTTGGATGGAATCGGCCTTTATAAAATGGGAATGGGGAACATCTTTGATGGGAACCTTCCCCCTACCCCCATGGTTAACCTTATCATGATCCCCTGCCACTCTATACATCTGTTGGAGCCTTCAGCGTTACCCAGAACTTCTGGTTATGGGCAAGCATGTGACCTTCTACCCAGGATGCAGTGCTCAGACTGGTCATGTGGGGTAGGGGAGGAGGTCATAGCCCTGGGTAAGATCCAACACAAAGCTTGTACAAGGATTACATTTAGGGCTCAGTCAGTCAGTAGAGAAAGATGGTGGGAGTGGTGGTGGTGGTGGGGGCAAAGTCATCAATTCACTTTAATGAGCCGTAGAGAGAAACCGTGCGGAGAAACCCAAAGTGAAAAGTCCTCCAGCACTTGTCTAGTCAGACCGAGGACATGAGTTCCCGCGGACGGCTCCTTCACATCATTAATAAATAATAATTGGATAATATTCTGGGCGGCCCCAATCCTGATTTGCCTGCTGTGGATTTTCTTCTCTCCAGTGGACAGCCAAATATTAAGCCATTTATTGGGGCCTTATCTCCCCTATTGGGACATTTATAACAATCAATACATTGAGGGCAGGCACACCTTGGGGTTCCTCCTTAAAGGTGCAGAAATACACTGGAAGCACAGCACAGCAGCAGCTGAAGACCTCCACTGTGTCTCTGCACCAAATCACCATATTGTATCTCTGCACCTAATCACCATATTGTGTATCTGCACCAAGACATGTGACAGTGGTTGGGTCTAGCAGCCAATCGCTGGGCAAGAACACCTCTCCATCAGGGTCCTGTCACTGCTCCCCTCAGCCTCTGACACCAGGTGACATTTTGGATTTCAGTGCTGGTTGTGGTGAAGATAGGAGCTGCAAGGGGGCTCTGGTTAAGGCGAGTATAATTGGGGAGGGGGGACCCTGAATAAGCACACCATCCCTTCCCCCTTCATGGGCAAGGTGCTCGGGTCTTACTAAAGAGATCTGTCCATGAATGGCATTTGTATCAATCTGATTCTTCACCTGGTAGTTACAATGGTACAACCCGTCTGGTCTGGGATTGCCGTTTGTCCTGTTAGTTACCTGCCTTCTCTCCCACGCTACTATACTGAATGTGGCTGTAAGCCACAAAGACGATGTCATGTCTCCTGCCTGAGCTCTGTGCAGATAACATATGCTGTGTCCAGGCTGCTGCAGGAGGTCTTCATACATCGCTCGGATAATGAAGGTGCTGCCAGGATTACAGGAAGGAAGAGACAAAAAAAGAAATACATGACCTTCCATTGAAGACTTTTTGAAGGTTGTCCTATTAATGCTCCCTTACCCAGTACAAGGACAGTTCAGGTTGTTGTAACGTTTCACTGGCAGCATGCTTGTTCTGGGTCACTGGCTGGGTAAAGTGTCTCTCCAGCCAGCAATGTGAATCATTTGGGAGGGATTAGAACGCCTGCTGTTTTTAGAGGTTCCATCACAGAGATTATCCATCACGTACCATCCTGCTGACAGCGTTTTACCAGAGAGGAAGTGAGATGAAATCTGCAACACCAACACAGATGGGGAAGTTTGGAGTTTAGGTGACAACCTTTTATTAAAGATGCATATTAAGCAAGCTTTCAGGATGACTTGGAGCCCTTCTTCAGGCTTTATACAATTGTACAGGGATATGAGGCACCCCGAAAGTTTGCATCTTTTATAACGTAAAGCTGAACTTCCTGTAATAAAGACCGGTCACTGCTGCTCTCTCTCCTTATGCAGAGTGACAGGTCTTGTCTCCGCCCCCTCCTGTAATAAAGACCGCTCAGTGCTGCTCTCTCTACTTGTGCAGGGTGACTGGTCTTGTCTCCGCCCCTTCCTGTAATAATGACCGATCACTGCTGATCTCTCTAATTGTGCAGGGTGACTGGTCTTGTCTCCGTCCCCTCCTGTAGTTTTCGGCAGGCAGCCTGTAGTGGGTGGGGCCTGCTGGGTACCTCTCACAGCCTTGCTCTCGGCACAGTAATGATGTCACTGCTTCATTTATATAGCAATGTCTGTGTTTGGTGCACAGGAAGCAGGCTTCTATCCTTTGTGGATATTGAGGAATACATTGAAATGAAAGGTTTTGTGCCTGTAGGTCATCCTGGCTATAACGGGTGTCACCTAAACTCCAAACTGTCTTCATATAACCCCAACCCCAGTGTAGGGAAAAGCTGGAACCTTTGTCACATTTTTAATTGCTGTCTGTGTTCTTGTTGCAGATTTTCTTTCACTTCCTGTCTGTTAAAACCATTCTCATCAGGCCAGTATAAGAGGAAATTTCCTTACCGAGGCGATAGCCATAAATACCCTACAGGGGTTCTAATCCTTACTGACTCTATTCAAAACAAAGAAGGAAGCTTTGGCTGCACTTTAACCCCTTCATGACTGAGGCCTTTTTTTCATTTTTTGTACCCGTAGACTGACGACGTAGGTCGTCAGTCACGAAGGGGTTAAAGTGATATTACGGCTTTAGTTTATTTAATTGTTACACCCGGAGGCCCGCCTTTTTATAAACGCTTGTTTTTCCTCAAAAATGTTCAGGTCCTCATTCTCTAGTGAGTGTGGTGTCTAATGGGTGTCTCCATCAGCTAAGCAGCTGCTGTGGCGGCACCCATGCTTGCGTGTTCCAGGCCATCCCCGCAGTAGCTATGTGCGCCCATAGACACCCATGACCCTATGGCAGGCCACGCCCCTTCCTCTCCTCCCAACAGGTTGATTGATGGCAGAAGGAGCCTATGGTTCCTCTGCTCTCATTATCCTCCCCCCCCTCCCTTTCACAACCAGGAAGTTCAGGGAACATAGGGTCACTTTGGGGAGTGGTGGCGGTGACAGGAAGCAGGGCGACACATCGTGACTCGTGTCCCGGCTTTCTGATTGGTCAGGAAGCTACGCTGCCTAGAAACAAGTGAAGCCGGCTTTCTAGCCAATCGGGAAGCCCGGAGGCGGGTCATGACGTGCCACCCGGCTTTCTGATTGGCTAGGTTCACTTGTTGCTAGGCAGCCTGGCTTCCTGACTAATCAGGAAGCCGGACGGTACCACATGACTCGCCGCCCGGCTTCCTGATTGGTCAGGAAGCCAGGCAGCCTCGGCAAGTGAAGCCGGTGTTCTTTCGCTAGAACTCCAGCTTCACAGGCAATCAGGAAGCCGGGCGACGGGTCATGATCTGCCCCGCCTGTCTTCCTGATAATCAAGTCAGCGGTACTCTGTATTGGCGAGTACCGAAAAATAATATCAGTACTTGTATTCGATACCGAAAAACTGGTATCGGTTGCCTCCTTCGTAAGAGGATACAATCACTGTTCAGGTGAAAATTTTCCACCTGACTCAGTCGATTTTTAGACCAGACCATTGTCAAGTCAGGTGGTGCCACCCATGGCTCAGATTTTGGCTGATTTAGCAGGAATCAGATGCAATCCGGGCCCTGTAGCTTTAAGGCTGACTGTCCGAACTAGAGCCTCCCCCTCAGACTAAGGGAAGACAGAGAAATAATCAAAGAGCGGAATATATTTACCTTCTAATCCTTTGAGTCGTGGTACAGGTTGCTACAAATGCCTCTTCATGACTGGTTCCCTTTCCTCCAAGGTCTACTGATAGTACAGTTGCATCCTGTTGAGGTGGCTCTAAGGGCCTGTACACACGACGTCCGTTTTCTGTGCTGACCTGATCCGTACGCTCCTGCGCTAAACATGTATCCTTATGCGTTTTATGGGCTACAGTTCTCACGTGCGCAGTCCGTTCAGGTTACGACAGAAAAACACTGCGTGCCACATTTTGTACGGTCAGGAAACGCAAAACGCGTCAAACGCACTGCAGCCAACATACTGACAGCCCCACTCCAGCAAAAAAACAAAACATTTTTTTTAAACTGGAACGCATCAAAAACGCGGCAAAAACACATAGCACCACAGCTGCAGATCCGCACCTGGTCAGGACCTGAAACTCATGTGAACAGGCCCTTAAGGCACCAGACAGTACGTACACTCACCAATTAGGGACTCTATACTTATTATGATGAGGGCTCCTAAAACATTTTTTTAAATTTTCAATTTCTCTCTGCAAACGTTCCTGTAACATTCCGGACCACAGTGACCTGATTGCAACGCGCAA